GGATACCACACGTTAAATTCAGCCTTGTGCCACATCTGACCGCGTTGGGCAGTTGGTAGATATCCTTGCTTCAGGAATTACTAGCCTGCTAACCGATTCTCTGTCTTTCAATAGTGTATTCTCTTTTACAATAAACCTCTCATTCTACGCCTGTGTTGCTGTTCCTTTCACTTGAGTACCACCTTTGTCTGTTTGTAACCTCTTTAAGGATACAACAAAAATAAAATATTTTTATTTAAAAAAAGTAAACAAAATGCCAATTTCTATTAACAAATAACTCACCTACAAAAACGCCTGATAATTATGCACCAACCCAATACATATACACTACAGCTCAAAAATTTGAGACAACTGTTATTTTTAATACTAGCCCAAAAAGTAGTCGTTTTGTACTTTAAATAAGAAAAAATTATTATACATGGCTAAAAAAAAGTGAGACGTGATTTTTTATATTAGAAATTTTATGACAAAAAGAAAAAAAAAGCATTTTATGATTAAATTTTGCTCTCGTCAAAATATCCTCCTTTAACCTTGATTACTGCAGCACAAATTTTTGGCATTTGTTATAAAAATTTCTCAAAGTATGATAATTGATTCTATTCTTTTTTTCAATAACTCTAAGGGCTCTTTTTAATTTTTTTCACTCTTCTGTCAAGTTCATTACATACTAATTTTGGGGGTTGCTTAAAAATTTTGAACTGTCGTGTATAAAATTCATATATTTGTTAAATTCATTTATTTTTAAATTGTTCAAGTTATCTACAAAATTTTGTTAAGGGACTCGTAATTAATTTAAATGGGCCTCAGCATAAATATTAACTTTGGGTCCTTTTTTAAACTTTCTTGTAACATTTGGAACAAAGATTCAAATGAATTAATGTTATATAGTTTGGTCATGATGAAACTGTATTGTTTTAAAAGTTTTCTTGAAAGATCCTATCAATAAAAACATTATTTTGTTTGAAGGAACCCTTTTTAAAGACAAAAACTACACACCAGGTTCTGCATATAAATATATACATTACAGTTCAAACGTTTGAGAACACCTGGAAATTTTTTAAATTGGCCACAGTAATAGTTGTTTTGTACTTTAAATAAGAGAAAATTATTATACATGGTTAAAAGAAAGTGAGACTTGATTTATTTTATTAGAAATTTTATTATGACAAAAAGAAAAAAAAATTTATAATTAAATTTTGCTCTTGTCAAAATATCCACCTTTAGCCTTGATTACTGCAGCACAAATTTTTGGCATTTGTTACAAAATTACTCAAAATATAAGTTTGCTAATTGATTCCATTCTTTTTCAATGACTCTAAGAGCATTTTTTTTCACTCTTCTATCAAGTTCATCTCATGCTAATTTGGGGGTGGCTTCAAACTTTTGAACTGTAGTGTATATGACAAGGTTATATTTTTGTTCAACACAAATGAAATTTAAAGCATTATAGCTTCTGACTTCTGTGTAACCCCAATTGCCTTAAAAGATGCTATGAAGAAGAATCACTTGGCCTGACACCCTATAATTATCTAATAGGCTGTTAAAAACGTTTATATTTCATGACTAATTTAAAACAAGTTCTATTGCGGTAAAGATTATCTATTTTGCTTTCCAAAAGTAGATTTCTCCACATAAAAGACTGGATCCAACTTATATATGTTTATTTGATGAAACAAATAATTTTGGCTCCACCATGCATTGATTAAAAAAACAGAATCTTCTTAAAGTTTAATTTCCAATAAAAATTTCTTGGTCAAATTTTAAGAGTTCTGATGATAATTTCAAGACCTATTTATTTTATGATTATCCGATTTCTATCTGTGTGTCTGTTACTGTAACATTGCAAAAATTGTACATCATAGCAAAATTTTTGTTAGGGCAATACAATTAAAATCATTCAATTTGAAAACTAAAGCCCCAATAATAGTGATCTGGTTTTGGCATGTTTGTCTGCTTGTTATAAAGGCCAAAAAGAAATTCACAACATTGAATGAAGACAAATGAATAAATTACTAATTGTTGCATAAAATAAAAATTAAATTTTGCTCATATATGTTGCATATTTTGATACAGAAACATTTTAGAAATGATTATTACAGTTGGAAATGAAGTAAAATACAATTCAGTGAATGTATTAAAAATTTTAGTGTCAAGTTTAAGGCATGATTAGAGTTTAGGAATCATTTTATTTCTTCTTAAAAAAATAACTATTATGATTAAATTCAGATACTATTATGATGGTAGACTGTGTCTATTTCATAAACCTACACAAAATTCAAACTCAATAAGCTTTATGGTCTTCGGATTTAATTTAATATTTATTTTTTTAAAAAGAAATAAGATTACTAAAATTCCAGTAGTACCATAAATTTGAATGTAAAATTTAAGTGGCTGAAATTGTACTTAATTTTTAACTGTAATGATCATACGTTCATTTATAGCTCTCATTATTTTATAGATAGATAGACAGATAGACAGATAGATAGATAATATATAATCATGCTTTCATTGGTTGCATTCACCAACAAAATAAACATTATTTTATAGCTGTCATTATTTCTTGTAAAAACAATTATTTTTTATTTTTCTGTCTTTTCCGCTTCCACAATTTATTACAAAAAACAACATTTCTAAACTGTAAGTTTGTATGTTCAAAAATTATTTAACATTCGACTCCTGCAGATTAGCTCAATTTTGAATGCAGATGGCGTTTGTTACTCACAGAGTAGTCTCCCCTTATTTATTTGTAAATCAAATTCCGCACGAGGTGAGACATTGTTTCACAACTCTTTCTTCTGACGTTTCTTTTTTTTTTGTTTTTTAAACGTTATAAATCTGATTTTTTTAACCTGAAATAAAATCCAATTTTTGGCTATTTTCTTAAACTTTTATCTTGTTTCAAAATAAGAGTAAAATATTTAGTAAAATTACTATTCAAGCATATTTTTAACCATACTTTTTAGTAGTCTAATTCACATTTTCTACAATGGATGCAATGATGTATCCAATCACAAATTTCATTAAATACTTTGAATATATAACGATCAAAATTTTACAATCAACAACACTTTCTTTTGTTAATTAGATTACTTACAAATATTTTTTTCACAGATAATTTTGTCCCTCAGCTTTTAAAATTGTCTGACTTAAAAGATTGGTTTGATTTCACACTTTCTTTGCCTGATTCCCAGTCTGGGATAGATTCACATTTGCACATTTTTAATTTACAATGAACATGTCTTCATGAAAACAACTTTTTTTTTTCCTGTTTTCGTTTAGTGGGAGAAAATCAGTTTACTTACAAATATTAAGACTTATTTAATTTATGTTGATAAAACTTTTTAAAAAAATGTCACTAAATATCTATTCAAAAGGAGGAAGACATTCAAATATACATATAGGTTTAAAAGAAATCAAAAGAATTGAAAATTAGACATATAACCAACCCAGATTGATGAGATGGTTGATTAAAATTGTTAACATCAACAGACTAGACTATTGCTCAAACAATTATCTTATCAAATGTCTAATAGTTGTTGGTGAAGTACTAGTGGCACTACTACCTTGCTTGTATATATCATATATATATATATATATATATATATATATATATATATATGTAATATATATATATATATATATATATATATATATATATATATATATATATATATATATATATATATATATATATATAATATATATATATATATATATATATATATATATATATATATATATATATATATATATATATATATATATATATATATATATATATATATATATATATATATATATATAATGTATATATATTATATATATATATATAAGAATAAATTTTATATAAAATTATATGCTTTAATTAATAATTTGAAACTTTTTAAAACCATTTATTTTACATTTAACATCATCACTTGATAAGACACAAAATCTGTTGAAACAAAATGGCTATTTTGTAGTGATTTTTAAAACATATTTATGTTATAAATTTTTTTTAAATAAATAATTATATCTGCTCTACTTTGCCGTTAATTAATTTGCAACTTTTAAAACCATTTATTTTACATTCAACATCATCACTTGATAAGACACCGGGGGTGTTGAAACAAAATGGCTATTTTTGTAGTGATTTTTTAACTTATTTATGTTATAAATTTTTTTTAAATAAATAATTATATATGTATATATATAGGAATGGGCAGGATAAAAAATCTATATACACGTACATATACTTGCACATATGTATAAATATATTTCCTCCTCAGCTGTTATAAATACAATGCTCAATGTTATGAAACAAAGCTATAATTATATATTAGTGAATATATGCATAATATCCAACATCCATAGCACAACTCGGAGTTTCATGCAATCTTCAGGTACAAATAAACTGCATGAAACTCTGTTGGATATTATGTATATTCACTTATATTTTTTGTAGCATACCTACTGACGATAGTATGGATGAAATTTACAGGCAACAGCTAGCAAGATCAATATGGTAACCATTATTCCACAGCAGGTACTCTTAACAAATAAAAATGGAAAAAAATAAAATAAAATAAGAAGTTCTCATCATAAGAATTTATTTAATGGAAAAAATTTCTTTTAAATGAAATGTCCTTTAATTAAAAACAAAGACATGTTAAAAATGTTCCCAGCTTAAATGAAAAAAAAAATCATTTCACTGCCAATGAACATTTCTAGGCCAGTTATAACATTGAAATAACAAAGGGATATGTTTTTAAACATTTGAACTGCTTATTTTTTAATGACTTACAAACAATTAACTATTCATAGAAAAATCAGAATTATCATGGCATGAAAAAATTTATAATACTAAAAACAATAATGGGCTTGAAATTTACATAAATTTCTCTTCATGTTATTTTACACATAAACTTTACTAATATAATAATAACAATTGCAGAAGTATAAATCATCTGTGGAAATATTTTTAAAATAATATTTGTGCATAGAATTTACATTAAAGAAGGTCATAATCGGAAAGGATTGTTATGAACAGTCCAAGGTATATTTATATTAGGCTGAGATAAACAGAAAGTCAGATGAATAGATAGATAGATAGATAGATAGATAGATAGATAGATAGATAGATAGATAGATAGATAGAGATACATAGATAGATAGATAATGAACAGACTGAGACAGATAGACATGAACACACTGTGAGATAGACATGAACATAGATAGATACATACATACACAGATATGAACATACTGTGAGATAGATGATATGAACATCCTCTGAGACAGACATGAACATATTGTGAGATAGATTGATAGTTATGATCATACTATGATATAGATAGATAGTTATGAACATAGATACATAAATACTGTGAGATATATATATATATATATATATATATATATATATATATATATATATATATATATAAACATACTGTGATATAGATAGATATGACCATACTGTGATATACATGTAGAGATGAACATACTGTGATATATACATATAAATAGATGTGATATAGATAGATAGATAGGCATAATGAGAGAACAAATGAGACAGGAATTGACTGAGATGATCAAGAAATGATGAAAAGACAGATGAGTTTAAATAACTAGAAGTTTCAGTGAGAAGTAAATATTCGTGCAATACACATTCTGATATTATAAAAAAAGGCCTTTGCCAGAGAGTTGAGAAAGTTGTGGAACATAAAGTTGACAGTCATGGCAATTGATATTGGTGCACTGGGAGCAGTCCCAAAAGAAACTGGAGAACTGGCAATAAGATTTTACAAGAAAGTATATTTACATGTAGAACTGAACCCTTACTTTGTGTCCGTTTTCATGAAAATAGTTTGGGCTGTTTTTTTAGTGCATATTTGACCTATGGAAGCCTAAAATTAGTAAAAAAAATATAACGTTATTTTTCTTTGAAACTCATGGTGTTACAAAAAAATACTTAAATATTTATCATTTTTAATCCCAGTCTCCAATTCCAGGTTATTGACTTGATAAAGTAAACTTCTTTCTTTACCTTTTTAGTACTTTCTTATTTGCATAAGCACGCACACAAAATAAATGTCCAATTGATTAAGTAGTGTATTATTTTACAATTACATTGTAAAATGTAAATTGAACATTCGCTGTCGTAATGTCGGATACAAAATCAGGGTCAATTCTGGCCTTATGAAACAATGTAAATCGAACCCCTAATTAAAGTTATATTTCGGTTCGTTTTATTATTATTTTAAAAACTTTCTCTCGATAATGAAGAAATCCCAAAGTTAAAAAAAAAAAAAAAAAAAAACGTCATTTTCACAAAGAAAAAACACATCTAGATGACTACTATTGAAGTAATATGGAGGAGGAGACTTGTTGTAACTTAATCTCCACTATAAGATACCAGTTACTACTTTTGGTGTGAATGCTCAACGCAACGAGTAAAAAAAAAATAATAATCCATCTTTATTTAAAAATAAAATACATAAGATTAAGAAGATTGCATAACGAATAATAATAATCACTGAGTTACACAGAGAAAGAATTCTTTCAAGAATTTCCTCAGAAATGTCTCAATTGAAGTGATTGCAAGAAAGTGGCATTTTTACTCACAACCATTATTCCAATAAGACTAAGAGCATTCGGAATGAAAGATACCGATGCATACATTAAGAAAATTCCCTCACTATCTGAGAATACCGCTTCTTTTGAATTCTTTGGTAAAGGTTTGCATTGGACAACAAACCAAGGAAAAGATAAATAATAAAATAATAATAATAATAATAATAATAACGATAATAATAAATAATTTTTTAATAATAATGATAAATATTAATAAATAATAATTAAAAAAAAAAACAAGTTGCCCAGAAGATCGCCCTACACTGGGATTATCCCATAAGTGACAATTATTCTCCTAGGGCCCAAAAACTATAGTTTGGAGTTTGGACCCGGCTCTGATAGAAAGTAGAAAACATAACATACACAAAAACAAACAAACAAACAAACAAAGAACAACAATAACAATAATAATTTCACAACGTTTACACTTTTTTACACTTTTGTTTTTAAAATCAAGGAAACCTTTCCTTCCGATTATGGTACTGTCCAAATATTAATTTCTCATTTATGTTTGGTAAGGAAATCTAACGATTAAAAAAGGGTTTTTTTTAAGAGAAAGGAATCCACACAAGAGGAGAAGAGAAAAAAAAGAAATTAACTAATCCAAGACAGATGTGTCTGAAGAAAAGGATAACTCATCATCATCATCATCATCATCATCATCATCATCATCAGATGAAGACGTCGGTGAGAAATCAGAAGACTTAGAAGTAAAACATCTGACGACTTTGGTATTCTGAAGATCCCTCTGCTGGGTCTGGCCCTGAATCGAAGGATTCTGACGCAGAACCAACGACAAAAGCGGGCAGTTTTTCGGCGGGGTCGGGGCCAACTCTGGATGACACAGAAAACAAGGAACTGGAGCAATGTCAGGCGCCAGAAGGAACTGTTGAACAGGTTCCACAATTCCACAATAATTGAAATAAACTCCAGTGTCATTGTTGCTAGGGTTATTCAATTGGGATTCCTCTAAAGTGGGGTTGATAAAGATTGTCGAATTCCTCACCCCTCCTGCATGGTGTAGAAGCCGGTTCCTTAACCAGAATTTACTGTTGGGTATGATGGCCATAACTTCTTCACAGCAAATCCGACTGACCACTCCACGTTGTCCGATCTCTTGGAAAAGATGGTCACGCTCTTTGAGGAATTCCTGTATTCGGTTTGGCCGGTCGTTACCAATGGCCCACGGAATGATCTCGTATTTTAGGTCTTCCTCATCCTCTTCCATGTCGTTGGCCAAGTAGAGCGATACAAAGAAATTTCTCGGGGTGTATTTTTCGAGTGGATAGCCGGCTCTCTTGAAATAGACGAATGCTGCTGCCAGGAGGTATTTGTCAGAAATTCGGTAGCAAGAATCCCGTTCCAAAAATCTGGATACGATGCCCATCTCGAGAAGATTTAAGTACCGCCTTAATTCACTGGTCTTCACTTCCCCCTTTTTTCTCTCTCGTATTATCGAAGGACGTCGAACGAATTTTTGAAAGCCGATCTGAATGGGACGGACCACCATGTTCCCCTTCTTCATTGCCCTCAATTCAGACGAAATTATACTTTGATGAATTTTTTCCAAATCTTCGAATTCTCGACGAACTTGAAGTTGCCACTGACGATAAAGGAATAAAGCCGCCTGACGTCTTTGAACTCTTTCTTGGAATTGTTTTTGGGGTTGTCCAAGAAGGCTTTTAGCAACATAGAATTGTTGGTGTTCTTTCTGGTGTAATTTTAATTGATGATGATGGCGGTGGGATTCGTGTTGTTGATGGCTATGCTGATTAAAGATATCCCTGCCACCTGTCAGATGTATTTCTTGTAAAATTTTACGCTGTCTTCTTTGCTGTAAACGTTGTTGATGTCGGCCATAGGATGTCGTCACTTTTCGACGATAAATAACCTGTCCTTTATTCTTGTCTTCTTGGAAAAACTCGCGACCATCTTCTAAAATCACTTTGGCGCAATGTCTCGACTCCTTTTCTAACATGGCCGTCGTCTTCTTGGCTCTTTCTTTATTTATTAAAGCCACTAGCCGATTATCATCCGTTTTACTTTTATTTGTGGTTTCTTCTTTTTGTTGACTGAAAGGAAAAACAGAATTCATTTTAAATTCATCATCTTCGTCGATGCTTGGTAATAAAATCTTTTGTTGAACGTGGTACAACCCAACTTGATTATTATTTATGTCCATTTTCCGAAGTTTGTCTTTCATAGAAGATTGCCAAATTACTGTTAATGGAAGCAATTTCGGGTGAAATTTTTCTATATCATAACTGGAAAACATCAAAAGATTTTTTTTTTTTTGGTATTTTGCAAAATTGTGGAATATGATTGACGTTTTACAGTTTAATAGTAACTTTAACAGCAGACATTTTTTTCTCCAATTACTAAAGCTTGATGGGAAAAAAATTGTATTCTTTTCTTTTTTATATTTAGATTTTTTTTTTTTTCAAGAAAACTCGTTTAATTTTGTTTTTCAGGCGGATTAATGTAGTAAAAATATATTTTATACGTTACTTTTTTGTTTTCGTCTTTTTTCCCATTGTATGCAGTTGACTGTTAAGTTCGTCTATCATTTTTCAATGTCGGGTTCTTTTTTATTTTTCTTGAAAATTGCTTTGTTAATTACAGGGAAACATCTGATTATGCAAACAAAAATATATAAAATGTGTTTTGTAAAACTTTTAGCAACATATGTCTCGGAAAAACCTTAAAAAAAAGAAACTAAAATATTTGTTTTTAAAAATATAATTATTAATTTAAAAAATCAAATCATTCTCGGATAATCAATTACTTTTTTAGCTTTTTAGTAAAACTTTTTAGTAAAAAAGATTATAAAAATTAATAATATCGCTAAATATTCTGTGAGAAATGGCTTAATTTATGCGCCTATGTGGTTTATATTTTCCTTTTCATTTTAAATTTTTAATGATAGCATTTGGCTTCCCTTTAAGAAAAAAATCAAAACTTGTGGGTTGGAAAAAGTCATTCAATTAAAAATTTAAAATGAACAGTATTTTTATCTTCATAAATTAAGTTTATATTTAAAAAAATATTACTATCACTAAAATAAAATGCTATCGTCAAACTTAGTTTAAAAAATATTACTTATTATTTCTTTCATTCATTAATTAAAAATGAACAAGTGATATATTAAGATGTTAATAAAAATTAAAAATCATAGATTTAAATGATTAGTATGTATTTTAAATTAAAAAAATGATTTTCTCTGATCTTTTTATAACCGTAAGAAGCTGAAGTTATGACTTTTTCTAAGATTTTTTTCTTAATAAAAATCCCATCTGATTCTTTTTTTTTTTTCTTTCTTACGTGACTTTTTCCCGGGTACAATTGTTTTTTAAACCTTTATTAAAATTCATTTTTAGCTTTTTCTCCCAAACCCGAAAAAAACTGACAACACTACTGAATTGCGTTTTTCAATTTTATAAAACAACCAAGTTTTAAAATTATTGGATGTACCTATATTCAATTTAAAATTTAAATTGAATATAGGTACTTCCAATAATTCGCTAAAAATCAGTATGTCATAATGATAAAAGGCCCCAAAACTTAAAAACAATGCTTTATCGTCAAAATGTTTATGTTATTTATTAAGAAGAGGAAAGAACAAGGTATTTTTTAATTATTTTAAAAATATATTTCCTTTTTTCTAACACGTTCTAAATTTTGTTCAAATATCTCGTTTTTTTTTTTTTTTTTTTTTTTTTTTTTTGTCAACTTTGTACTACTTGTGGTAATGGACATTTTAAGTGTCAGTGTCGGGGGAAAACCCATTTAATTTAGAAATTCTTGCAAAAATCAAATAATTGTCTGATAATGAAACTTTCAGGAGTTATTTAAAAATGAATTAATTTATTTTTAAAATTTTTATTTTTTAGAAAATCTTGGTAAAAATATTTTTTCTACATCTGTTACCTCCCCCTACCCCATAAATGAATAATTTTATGAAATTTTCTAGAATTTCAAACAGTTCACAAAATGTTTTAGGCAAGAAACCTTGGAGAAAGTAAATCATCAATTTTTTTTTTCACAATTATTGCCAACTTTTTAAAAATCTGCTCCAAATCTTAAAATAAAAACTATAGTGATTTACCAAGCGTAGTTTAGATGTGGCACAAGGCCGAAAGTAGGGGGCACCCAGTAAAGATCGAACTCAATACTCAGTTGTAATAGTTCTAGCGGGACAAACTTGCTAACCATTACACTGCCTCGAGGTGCCCACTATATAGTGATTTTCCAAGCGTAGCTTCGATGTGGCACAAGGCCGAAAGTAAGAGGCACCCAGTGAGGATCGAACTCACTACTCAGTATATAGCGATTTTCCAAGCGTAGCTTGGATGTAGCACAAGGCCGAATGTAAGGGGCACCCAGTGATATAGTAAGATCCCGTAAGATTCCAGCCGTCAACACAAATCCACGATCTTGCTCAAAGCATACAGATACAGAATTTCGTAATATAAACTTACATTTCTCTCTGAGACTTTTGCCAAGTACAATCAACCAGAACTCTGTTGATTCAAACCATTCTATAACACAACACATTTTTAATTAATTGTATTCTTGTGTTATTTATTCTTAACATACAAACTTTGCTCTAATATTGATTTCTGAACATTTTTCTCTTAAGAGAACTTTTTTCGAACAATTAATTACAAATCAATCTACAGTTAAAGGGGAACAACTTATTTCCCTTAATCTATACATTGAACACAATTTTATTGCATGTTTGTTCTTTTATGTTATTTCAATATATATTTGTTGATTAACAATTTGGAGTTATTGTTGTTTACTTGAATCCTGTACGTTGAAAATATCGTTAATATGAATAGTATTGGTCCATCTACACATTGCTTTACAGCAGTGCGTAGTGATTTCTGCACCGAAAGTCTGTAAAAGAAGTAAAGAGACCAAAATTTATGCTTATGTAGCGTACGTACCAAATATAGCGTCGGGTCGATTCAGTAAATGTAGCAGGAACACCAAATATATAGGTACGACTACTATTTATATTAATGACTCCTCCACGTACAGGAATCAAGAAATAACATCAACTCTAATTTGTTAATAAAATACAACAATAAGCATGAAATAATTTTGTATTCACAATGTAGATTAAAGAGAAGGACGTTCTTTCCCTTTGACTGTAGATTGATTGTAATCAACCGTTTGAAGAAAGTTTTCTTATGAGATAAATGTTCCGAAATAATTGTTAGAGCAAAGTTTGCATGTGTAGAATGAATAACACCACGAATACAAGTGCTCGAAATGTGTTGTGAACAAACCGGTTTGAATCAACAAAGTTTTGGTTGATTGTGCTTGGCGAAAGTTACAGAGAGAAAATGTAAGTTTGTAGTTAAGAAATTCTGTGGCTGTGTGTGCGTTAGAGTGTGATGAGCAAGATCGTGGATTTGTGTTGACGGTTTGGATCTTACTGGCGACTTGCAAAAAGTCTCCCTATTTAAGGAAAAGAGGTAGGCTCCCACGGAACAGCGGGAAAACTTGATCTTACATTAAAATATGTGATTGGTTAAAAATTAACCAATCACTACACACGTACTAAACAGAATAGGTAAGTATGCTCACAACCAAAAGATTCAAAAGAACGACTGCGATGGCTTAATTGTCCTATACAAAGGTAGTAGTAATTTATTAGCCAATCGCAGGCGAATAAAATGACTTGGAGTGAATGTGGGTGTGAAAACATAGCAACCGCTATACTTCCACCAGCGAAAATACCCGGAAGTGACCCGCGCTTAATTTGTAAAAACAATGCCCGTAATGGCGGACGAATTACCCAGAATTAGTCCGATTTTTCTTGTCGATAACTCCAAAACAGTAGGTTTTATCATAATTTAATTGTAAATTCGAGTTCAGCACGTTCATTTACACGGAATTATGACGATTTGGGAAAAATTTAATAGATATTTAGCGGGGGACTTAAAAAGCAAATTTACCGATTTTGTACACGTAATGCTTACTATTTTCTTAAAACATGATGAAAATAACGTTTATTTACGCACGGCATATTATGGGACAACAATAGTTGTTTTGTCCTGTAATCCCAAACTTAAAAAGCGCGCGAAAAATTAACCAGACTATTAAAGAAATATGGAAAACCAGCAGCGCAGTAATTTTAGGTTTAATAAATTATCTTTTACATTTATTTAAGCAATAGTTTGGTTTAAGAATATAATTTTCTATTCTAGAGGCCTTTATGAAATTTAGTAGAATGAATTAATTTGTATACTTCATTAGAAATATTTTTTTTTAGTTAAATGATATTTTGGAGTTTAATTCATTGCTTTTATTTATTATTTTTTTATTATTTTGTTTGGAGGTCATAAAATATTTAATCGCACCCAATGAGGTCTTTTT